ATATTGCAAGTAACACAAATGTCAGCAAATTAAGAGTGAGTATGCATACTAGTAGTGAAACCAGAGTGGAGAAGTTACTTAAATCTCTAATGTTTTGTATTTCCTTATAAAGCTTATCGGTGATGACTCTTAGAAAGTGTTATAACTAAATGTACCGCGCATAACCAAACATCATATTATATTATAAAGCACGGCGATTTCGGGTTACAAATTCGCCCATTACAGTGTTATTTATTTAGTAAATTGAGCAACGCTATAAAATATGTGAAATAGATTCATGTCAACGTAAAGAACTAAATGAATAAATTATATGTTGTTAAGGAATATAAGTTCTTTTAAACTAATGAGATATGATGTTCTATAACTTTCTACATAAAAGTTCATCTAAATGCTTCGCTGACTAAAAAGCTTGCCATAATTAACCCAAACTTTTGCGTACATTTTTTGTTTTAAACCCACCTATGTATCCAAATAAGTGTTTGTCCTAAAATAATGTGTATTTCTTTGGAAGTTAAGAGGACAAAACTAAATTTTCAGCCATATATATATATATATATATATATATATATATATATATATATATATCAACTCTGACAACTGACTTGTCATACAGAGATGTTGCAGTGACATGTGACTATGACATTTTAGGGTTACGTTGTTTTCTGGATAATCGATAAATTACCGTTTGTAAAACAATACTACCCTGGAAGATATCATTAAATACCAGAATAATTATGTTTAAACAGAGCTGAAAAACATATTATTAGTATTTAGACTAAGAGATATTAAGGCGACGATGCGCTAATAAATCTACCTTCCAGCCAAACACTAATCATAAAAATACGTCGTTAAACACAACGATACTTTAACATGCTATTTCCTACTAAATAACGAAAATGAGATTGGAAAAAGTCGACTACTGATGTTAGCAACATATTTTATGTATATATCTTTGTTTAAAAACTTCGGAAAATTTATTTTATGGAATGCGCTAATGTAATACGTTATTTTTGAATTGTTGTTTCAAACATAAAAATACTGAATGATTCGAGAAGAATAAAGGTTACTTCAGCTGTAAATTATTTTGAATAGTTGTTATTAAAACTCTTAATAAACAGAATAAGGATTTATGAAGGTGAATTGTTGATAATGACAAATAAATTACAAGCACAGGTGGCTTCGTACATATTTTTTTCATTAATTCAGAAGCGCTTATTGTGAAATTAGAAATTTATGGAAGGTTACTTATAGGCACTGATTACTAGTGGTCTTATTTTCTAGTCAGATTTCATTTTTAAACTTTTAATTGATTGAATTATGTTTCTATTAATCTTATATTTGAAACAGATAGCTGAATCCGCCTGTATCTCTTCTACTCAACGTATTTATACAAGCAACGTAAATGGACTTAGAAATTTCACAAATCGATGCAAACAATGCCCAGATTATAACGCGAACAACATTTTGTAAAGAAAGCATCATTTATGTTCTTGAAGTTATTATCAATTATTATTATTTTGCCGTTTTATAATTTAGTGTTCAACCAGAAACTGTACGTAACTTACTTAAGTAATTAATTTTTATTAAGCTATGTTGACTTTATTTTTTGATGTATGCAACGTTTTCGTATAATGATGAGTAAAAGGATTTGATTCGTTAGACTCAGTAAAACAATTGACCAATTATTTTCTACTGCAAACCCCTTCTAACTCAAAGATGTCTTTAGAATTTGTGTAGAAAACAGCTACATCAATTGAAGCAAAATTTAACTTTGGACTGATTATCATTATAGATTGATATTCAAATGTTTCATTATTTATAACGTACCTCCAATGAAAATTTTACGGTGCTGGTCGAATAACATAAACAATGTAACGAGCAGAACATCTGGTTTAATAAACCGTTACCCGAAATGAATTAAAAGCAGTTTACAACAATTATAAAAACAAATCACCAATCCACCTCGCTTACAAATTAGTAAATCCCAGAACTGTTATATTGTATTCACAATACACTTGTGCAATTCAGAAACCAGGACCCAATTATTTGGAAGATATATGTCCAAAACTGTTTTAAAATAATCTAAGTGAATGAGGAGTCTTGGTCTAGTTCATCAGGCTAAACGTTAGGATTATTTAAGCTTCAATTGCTCAAATTATTTCAAATAACATGTGTTAATTTTGTCTGAAAATTCCTTTTATTAAGAAAAATCCAACAATGGACTGCCAAAATTAGAGCATATTTAATTATACAGTTCAAGGTGCTCGATTATTCTTATTCACTGATTGAAGTATGCTTGATAAAAAGTAGTCTATAATATTCTTTTTAGACAGACAGATTTATGAAGAGAAATGAACTTGCAGGATAAAACCACCAAAATATCCTGCTACCACTTGAAAATTTTACATTAGTAACCGAGCATTTAAGGGACAAATTTTAGGGTTGCATTAGTGACATTAAAAGGGACCAAATCCTAACCAATCTTTATTGCTTTATCATCAAGAAAATTAGCGAGAACTAACAAAATGTTAGCTACATAAATAATATTAACAGACATTATTGCTTAAGCAGCAATATTTATTTCCAAACTTAATATCAGCTGGTCAGTGCTCTGTTTACCTAGTTGACGTTTATTATTGGATATAATAATAACTGTTCATTTTTCCCAATAACGTATAAAATTGATTTAGACAGTGAAGGTTTTCCTTTTCTGTTTATTTATTGAGTAAATGAAAGAAAAGTAATTGTTTCTCGTAGTTATTTTTGAGTAATAAATACCAACTAAATGTATATTGATCAGTTGAATGAAGACACGGGTAGATGGTGTGAATGAAGTTAATACTTATAACTGAGTTTAGGTCTGCTGACTCAGACTATCATTTAAAGCAGTTAGCTACGGAGCAGGTGGTTTAAACTTATTATTGATGCTCTGTCATTACTTTGTGTTTCACCTATTAAACTGTAAATATGTTTACTCAGACAAACCAGTCATTAATCAACCTGTGCATATGTATTGCCAGAAATAGTGTATAACACTTATTACAAAGTTTAAAAAAATTATCGACCATTGTTTTGTTTCCATAAACTAACACAAAAGAATAAAGAAATAAAATCAAAAACAAACTCTAGATTATCAAGTAATCAAGAGTGGATATCATAACACGAAAAAACTTAAATGGATTTTCTTTAAATAAACGAAACTTTATACAAAAATATTCTCTTGCTTTATTTCACTGTTTAAAGAATAGCTAAATTCAATTATTCAAACGTCAAACGCTGGCGTAATCTTGAAATATACTTACTACGACAAACTTTTAGCTCAACTAATCACAAGTTAATTCGAATCCCACAAACTACATATTTTCATTTCTTTTTAGAATAAGCTAAGTCAAGCTTAATAATAAAAAATGATCATTCTGAATCAGGGATGGTGGTAAAACATGTACGGCCACTTAAAGTTTTAGCTGTGTGATAAGATATCTACTTAAACCGTGAACCAAAATGCATTTGTCAAAGATTCCAAATCAATTATTAAGCAAATCTAGGCACATTTAGTCATCGTAATATTATCAATGTCTTTTGGGTTGTCAAAGGTATATATAGTGTTCTGTACAACAAAATATGAAATGAATATGGACACAAACCATAAGTGATCAAAGGAGAAAGTAATACAAACCAAGCAACATCATTCAAAATATACTTTATTGCATCACATTTAGTGCACTACGCATTAGCAAACTATTCATTCTTTCATAAAAGATTAAAATAGTGAGTGATCTAAAACGTATTTATACTTTTGCAACAAGACATTTTGAATTTGGAAGGAATTCATACATTTGAAGGGTTCGTTATTATAAAGATCAGTGGTCAGAAGTTCTGTGGATTAGGTCAACTAACTGTTCGTTACAAGTTATTAGTTCTTACTAACCGAAGTAACACATAATTCAATAGTGTAATCTGTTTTATTGCAAATTCCGTCTTATAAATTCCCTTCGTTAGTATGATAATTCCCATATATCCACATAAATATTACTGAACATTAAACCGAATAAAGATCTATTTGAAAACGATATTGTTTGCTTATATATGCAGTTTTAATTCATAATATAGAAATTCATAATATATCACTGCATTTTCAATAAGCTACCTATTCAATTCCTTTTCTATAAGGTACGCCTATTGAACTGAAAATTTAAAATAATGTATTTAATTGGTAAAATGTGATACAAGGCATGAATTCATTTCTATTTCCTTTCGTATCTGTGTAAACTTCCAACAATTACACAAACAAGATTAAATAAATTATATTCAAATTCTTTTCAGACTGTGAACGTATTTGATCATTGGAATTTCAATGAAATAAATAAACCGATTTAAAGAATATTACTTTTACGAGCAATTTATTACATAACTTTGCTTAATAAACAGAGAGAACATAGTCTTTATAATATACGAGTAATTCCTTGTCTAAGATTTATCTTTTCTTCTCTTCAATCATTTATCTATATATTCTCCTTTTCGCTTCTCATATTTAACTCCTATGTTCCTAAGAATGGTCCTGCTTCACTCTAGTTTATTTTTATTATCATCAAAATTTTTCCTACCCGTACTTATTGATTATTACTCATACATCTCCATTTCAACTTGGCAATACTCTTATCGACCATAGATTTCTGATTTTTTATAAATTACCTTATCCAATAATTATTTATTTATTCCAAAAAATTAGTCGATTTTGACATAACTAGTCATTTTCAGTAACACATACAACTACTCGACCCTTACTTTATCATACATATGCAAAATGTTGAAAATAAACTCATCAAAAAAGGATTTATCCGCTGAATGAGTTATTTTCTAAAGTTATTTTTACAATTTTAGCAATATATCATATACTATCATAGAATTTAAACTTGCTCACTTTATTCAATGTATATTGGCTTATTTTAAATTACACCAAATATAAATATATAAGAAATGATAAAAAATGAGGAACTCACATTAGGTAAGACTTGCCAATGTTTATCAGGTGATGCTGCTTTCGTTTCAAGTTCAATAGGCAAACCATTTATGGCTGGTTTCTTTTTTGGTCCTTCAGATGCTACAGAAACATCTGCTGATTCTCTGGTTGAACTTCTACCTGAATCGTGCTGATCATCTGGATATCTTTTCAAATGTTTTCCCTCAGATACAATATGTGGGTTTTCATCTGTTGGAGTTTTATTTGTCTCGTCTCTTGGATAGTTATAGGCATCTCTTGTTAATTTCTCTAAGTATAACTCTTGCTTACAAAACTGAGGTCTATAGGTTTCATCAGCCGTTGGTGTTAGGGATCCTTCTGATGGACTAACATCAGTTTCATTTTGTCTCTGTTGAATATTAGTCTGTGACTCATTTGATAATGTTTGTAACTCTACATCAGGTGACATTAAACCTGAAGAATAAGCGGTAGTTGAATCATCTTTTCGACGTTTTCTTGAGGGAGAAAATAATGAACCCAAAGATAATGTACGCAGAAATGTGAAAGGTTTGCTTTTTGATTTCGTCTCATTTCCAGAAGATAATGTGGAGCCAGCTGTTAATGTAGCGGATTTCTTTTCCATTGTCCATCTTGTTAACCTATTGGAAGATGAAGATGACGGCTTTTCTGAAATATCTTCTTCACTATCCGACCGATGAAACATACGTGGTAATGTGGAACAGCCTCTTTCATTTGAACTACCGGTCACCGGTGTCCTACTCTTACTTGATTTTCGCTTCACACAACGCAGCATTGTAAAGGAAAGTTTAAAAACCCGATGTACAGAGAAATTTGGAAATGATTAAGGAATGAATGTGGCGGAATTTGATATGACTTGGCTAAATTATTAGTACACTATCGTCATTATTGTTTGTTTCTTCACAATATATCATAACTAACATGAAGTAGCAAGCATACAAACTTGTTTCTGTAAATTTCACTAAAATGTCCTAGCAATAAAGCATTTAAATTGATTGAGTTGAAAATTTGAAAAGATAGTTTATCATGACGAAAACAAGAAGGCACTCTACATGAAAGTTTGAAATTTCGATGACTAAGTAATAGGACAACAAGCAAAGTGAAAACAAAATAATAACAAAACTATGAAGTAATATTAATCGATATTGTCTTCACAATTTTTCGACTCAACTATATAAAATAATATTATGTATGAGGCACTAATAATGATTCTCACTTGAGTAAAACGTATTTGTGCAGTGGTGTTGACTGTTTGAACAGACTGCACCGGGTTCAGTAAAAGATAAAGGGGACGAGCTCTCAATTCCTCCAGATTAATATGCTTGGTCTGAATATACGAGAAACGATCACTTTGTAAAATGAATTTGAAGCTTCAGATTTGTAATTCAAGTATTCTTCGGAAATTGATTCTCATTTTCTGATCAATTCCCTAACTGACCAATTAAAATTAAGTAATTATCCATTTTTAGAACTGAAAATTTAGTTGGTTGAAATTTTCGGGCTATGCGCTAACTGTTATGGTCAATATCTGTCTGTCCACTTTGTTTCTCTGCGGATTACGTCGAACTAGGTGGCATATGGTTGATATATGTCTAGATTCAAATAAACAATCATGGTAGTCTTATTATCATTATTTTCATCACGAATCAATATGTGTCAAATTACTAGGATGCTGTTTAATTAGTTTCTCAGACTTTAAACTATATGATCCCATAATATGTTTTAACATCAAGGTACAAACATTTTGCAGCAATAGGGATTGTTCTAAGAAAGGTGACTTGACATTATCAAGCTCAAGTATTTGATAACTGAGGAGGAAAGTAATGAACTATGTTGTTAATATCAGAAAGAAAGTACAATTTATGTTATAATCACAGTATTATTGACAAATTTCGTGTCTTCGAATGTTTTTTAGTGAATGTTTCCGTCATTTAGATTTACATTTGCACATAATCTGTAATAAAGTAAACTGAAAAGAACTACTGGAGAAGAAATGATAATTCTGGCTAATCAATTATATGAATGCAAAACATGTATTTGATATGAAGTTGAGACTATAATTTATGGACGACCTTTGAGCGACGCCAGAGTGACTTTGAAAGTGTCCACCTAACAATTACGACGAAATTAGGGGTATAAACCAGTGTGGGGAATTAGTATTATGATTTACAGTTGATGGTTAAGGTAAGAATTAGATTTGAGGTTTTCATCACGAACTGACATCAACTATAATGCCAAAACTTTATTTATCCAGATGGATGAGTGAATTTCTCGCCAAAATTCGAGACGTGTCATCCTATATTTTATTGGTTCGTCCATAAATTATAATCTCGCTGATGTGAAAAACAGCCATGGTTCATGAACTCAGTGGTTAAGCTTGTGAACCAAACAATACGTCAGTCAATCAGTTTGAATAGCTCAGTAGGAACGTCTCAACTACGAAGTTGAGTCACGCTGGTTTGAATACCACATGGAACATCACTTCGCTCAAGATTACATGTACATCTAGATGACGGCTACCAACTAGCATGGCATGTAGGTCCAGGGTTTTCTGCTAACAAAACCCAACTTATAATGAAGATGATCCTTAGAATATTGTTGTGAGTAAGCCGCTTGTTAACATGGAAAACTGGACAAAACAGATTATGTCTCCAAGATGAAATCCATCTTGAGCGACCACATAAGGTTCAAGTTAGACAAAAGTAACAAAGACTTAACTGATTCCACTGAGAAAAGAATCACCAAAGTACTCAGAAATCTGAAAAAGAAGATGATCGATAATCCTACTTACAATAATCTACAACCTCATGGGTCTCATTTACCCCACATGTATGGATTGGCAAAAATACATAAACAAGGTTATCCTCTTAGACCTATTTTTTCAATAGTCAATTCACCATACCATAAAGTTGCACAATGGTTGGCAAATAAGTTAGAACCAGTGCGTCAACGATTAGCCGCTTATACACTAAAGGATTCGTTTGTATTTGCTGACAGCATGAATCACATAATTGTTGCTGGTAAGTTTATGGTTTCTTTTGATGTGACATCGTTGTTTACAAAAATACCACTTCTTGAAACCATAGACATAATTTGTCAGCATTCTGATATCCTACCTCTACCAACACCAGAATTCAAACGACTGTTACTCATTTGTACAAAAGATGTTCAGTTCCAGTTCAAACTATATCAAATACAGACAAAACGACGGTGTAGCAATGGGAAGTCCGTTAGGTCCTGTCCTAACAGATATCTTCATGGATAACCTCGAAAGAACCAAGCTCAAAGGAGTGATTGATGAAATGATGTATTATTCAAGGTATGTTGATGATACATTCATCGTATGTAATGATCAACAACATGCAACAAATCTGCTAAAGTTTTTCAACGAAGCCCATCCAAATATCCATTTCACTATGGAACATGAAAAAGAAAACAAGTTCCATTTTCTCGATATCGCGATAAAACGAAGAAAGGATGGTACAGTTCAATGTTTAGTTTATAAAAAAGACACATGGATTGAAAATTATCTAAATTTCAATAGCTTTTGTCTAATCAGTTACAATAGGTCACTGGTCAAAACACTGTTTCACAGAACAGAAAGAATATGTACTGCCGATACACTAGAAGAGGAAGTTATGAATGTTAAAAAATGTTTAAAGAATAACGGATACCCACTGAAATTTATTGAGAAATATGGCAAACGTGAAGATAAAAAACCCAACGAAATTACAGCAAATAAAAAGCTTATTTTTATTCAACTTAAATTCAAAGGTGATAATGTCACAGGATCAATCAATAAGAGACTAAAAACTGCACCGACAAGAAATTATCCTGCAGCAAAATTGATTGTCCTGTCCAAAACAACATGTTCTTTGACACAATCAAAGGTCGACAAGTATCCCTTTCATGTTACCACCAACTGTGTATACAAATTCATATGTATCTGCCAAAGCAGTTACAGTGGTAGAACAGAAAGGAGAGTCTACGTCCGCTTCAAAAGAACATATTCCGGAAAGTTTAACATCGAATGAATTGAAAGCATTCAACAGTGCCATCGCAAGATATCTTTTTGACACAGGACACGAAGTCGATACACTGAAGTCCTTCAAGGTGATTAATAGACAATCAAGCTCCAACCTTCTTAAATTTGCCGAAGCATTAGCGATCAAACGTCTAAAACCAGACCTATGTATACAAAAAGAGACAGTAATAAATCTTTCTTTACCCTGGTAACAATACCCCCCTTTTTTATTCATTTATTTCTATTTATTTATTTATTTATTTATTGCATCATTATTCCAACTCTTTCTGAAGTTTAAATTACATCATACATAACTGACTGATTTCAATTCATATTTTCTTTATTACTATTAATCTATTTTCATGAGTTCTAATCACTATTTCAATGTTCCGGAACTTTCCCTCTCAAACTCTATTTATTCGAGACAAAATTTTACGACCTCATTAACTTAATCTTCGCTACACCATGATACATTTATTCGTCCTTATTCACCCTCTTATTTGTAAGTATGTCAATATCTGTAATAATGTTGTAAGCAGCTGATGAGAACCTGACGAAATAAAATGAATTCATATTATTCTAAACCGATCTTTGTTCTTACTCTCGTTAAGATAATAAAGGGAACTATGTGTATGAAAAAAACTGGAACACATGAATAGGTATGTCAGAACCAAAAAAACTCTGTGTTTGTAAGATTTATTTAAAGAGCTTTTTTTATGACTATCTTGACGCTATTACATCATAACACAGGGACAGAATTATTGTTTCCCCACACATTTTTCCATAATTTATTGAAACAAGTAAATATCTCTGATATTTCCTTGCACGAGTACTTATAAGTTTTACTTGATGTACCCTGTGAAGTGTATCAAATTCATTTTGCTGATCAGAAGGGATTTCAACGAATAAACCGAACCATTCAATATTATTAAGGTCAGGTGCATTAGAGATGAGGCAGCTTATTTGTTAGCATCAGCAGCTGTCGTCAGAAACTAGGCTGTTAGTATCTTTATGTTTATTTATTTAAATAATTATAAAAGTCGACTTTATTGATGCATGCTTAGTGGATAATAGCAATAATATAAGCCTTTTGCAGTTTACTTAGGTCAATATATATATATTCACCAGGATAGAATTTAGCATTCTTCAGGATTTAATTTATCTTCATTGTTTTTTGATTGGTCATTCTGAGAGATGCTCCGAAATGCTTTTTAGAAGAGGCCTCGAATTAGAAACAAATGCACCTAGATCCACGGGGTCCCCTGATATACACACTCATTTCGTCAGTTGTAATAACTAATTCATCATAAGGAACTATATAAAACGATGACTGGTATTAGATTTTACAACGACCGAGTACGAAACCTTAATGATGCGAAAAAGAAATAGGACCGAAATTATTGAAGGACGAGTTATGCATACCTTACAATAAATAAAACATGATGGTGTAATCTCAGATCCTAAAATACCCTGACTATATGAACAAAATAAAATGCATAGGTTGGGAATACCTCTTCATTTTAACTAGATATGATTGATTCACAATGATACTTATTTACACAGTGGATAACTCAATTGTTGAATTAAGTCTAAAATAGATGTTCTCTGCACGACAGATTTTCGTTATATGTAAGTAGTAAGTAAACTGTAAACGTTATTTTCTCATAGTAGATCGCTTACGGAAGAGGTTTTTCAATGACTTATTCATAATAAGTAACAGTAAGCCCGGTTTACAAAAGATATTCGAGTAACTTATAGTCGCCATCAATTATTTAAGTCTGTAATGAAAAATGAATGCCTACACTAGATCTCTTTTTTCATAGTCCACTTACTAGAATAAATGATGTTACACTGAAAGGCTCCATAAAAAACTGACTTCATTGTCAGCTTACGATAATAAGGAGGGAAACCATCAACTGATTTCCAGTGTTCATCCTATTGTAAAATTTATCCAGTAAGCGGCTTGAAGCCTGAAAAAACCATTCTAAGATCACCTTTTCAAGAAAATCCTACACTCCTTACCATTTGCTGAGTAAAATATGCTACGAAAAAAGTTTCGAAAGACTAAATATTGTGTTCCATAGGCTTAGGATTCAAGCAAAATACTAATGGTAGCACCACTAAAAATCGTTCTCCGCATAACACTCGATAACCACCCTTCATACGACTCCGCATGACAGGTTAGTTATCATAACTGACTGATTATACATGTACCGTGTTAAATTTATCCTACCGTTTGGATGGAAAATATGGAATTATGTTTTAGGTAGTTATCCGATACACAATTATTTAAAAATGTAAACAACCCTTCAAAGAACAAACGTCTCATTCAGATA